AGAAAAACTACAAAAAGATATAACTGAAGTCTAAATAACCATAATTTTTTCTAAAAAGATGCAACCTTACATTTTCATAGAATGATAGACACACCCTAGGATGCATTGTTAAACAGTAAACAATTTTTTTAGAAGACACAACCTATTATGCATTAATAACCATAAAATAAGTTTTTCCGAGAAGACGCAATCATATGATGCATTAAAATAGTTTTTTTTTTAAAAGAGACAATCCTAAGATGTTTTAATAATCCTAAAAATATTTTTCCAAAAAATGCAATCCTAGGATTCATTAACAACCATAAAACAAATTTTAAGATGCAACCAAAAGACGCGACACTTAGTTACTTTAATAACTATAAAACAGTATTTTCAAAAAGACGCAACCATATGATGGATTAATAACCATAAAATAGATTTAATCGAAAAATGCAACTTTTATATGCTTTAATAACTATAAAATAATTTATTTGAAAAAGACGTAACTCTCTGATGTATTAATAATCATCAAACAGATTTTTCCCAAAAAAATACAATCCTTACATGTTTTAACAACCATAAAATAGATTTTTCGAAAAGACGCAATTGTATAATGCATTAATCACCATAAACCGGGCTTTTCAAAAAGACACAATCGTAAGATGCTTTTATAATCATAAAACGGTTTTCTGAAAAGATGCAACCATAGGATTTATTAATAACAATAAAACGGATTTCTCAAAAATACGCAATCCTATAAAGCTTTAATAACCATAAAACCGATTTTTCAAAAATACACGACTATATGATGGATCAATAACTATAAAATAATTTTTTTGAAAAGACGGAAGCTTGCTTTAATAACCATAAAATGTTGTTTTCAAAAACAAATGCAATCCAAGGGTGCATTAATAACCATAAAATTAATTTTTGAACAAACGAAGCATTTAGATGTTTTAATAACCATAAAATGATTTTTTATAAAAAAAATGTAACCCTATGATGCATTAATTAAAACATCATAGAATCCATAAATTCTGCATTTGATAAAGAATTCTAACATTTGTTACACAAATCAGTAATTTTAGGAACTTCTACAATAGTAAAAAATTCAATACTTTTGARTAATTTTAAAATAATAGAATGTCGTTTTTATCATTGTTATGCTTTAAGTGAATTTTAAAATTAGTAGTCATATAAAAATACACAAAATGTTCAACAAAAAATATGTAGAGTTAAAAACACAAATATATAAAACAAACGGTTTTTTCTCGAAAATACGCAATACTATCTGCATTGTCTAAAGAGATCCAAAATTTTTTACACAAATCAAGAATTTTAGGAACTTCATCAATAGTAAAAAGATCAATATTCTAAAATAATTAAAAAATAATAGATTGGCATTTTTATCTATCTTAAGCTTTAAGTGAATTATATAACAAAATAGCCATAATTAATAAAATGATCGCCGACCGAAAAAAAAACTAAAAATATATATATAGGCTAAACGATTTTTCCGAAAAGACGCAACTCTTATCGATAACCATAAAGTGATTATTTCGAAGAATAACTACTTAACGGTTTTTTTACAAAAAATCACAACCCAAAAATATTCATTTTGGAAAAGACGCAACTCTTAAAGAAAACTAAAAAGCGGTTATTTTCGAAAAGACGCAACTTTTGACGAAAAAATGATAATGAAAAGACACAACTCTTGACAAAATAATTACAACGAAAAGATGCAACTCTAGATAAAACGGTTTTAATGAAAAGATGAAACTCTTGCAAATAACCATAAAACGGTTTTTTCAAGAAGATGCAACCCTTTAAAATAACCATAATGCGGTTTTTTTAAAAGAAAAAAAAAACTAAAACATATATATATAGAGGCTAAACGATTTTTCTGAAAAGATGCAATTTTTAGCGATAACCATAAAGCGGTTAATTCCAAAGATAACTACTTAACAGTTATTTTCAAAAAGACGCAGTTTTTGACAAAATATTTATAATGAAAAGACACAACTGTTGACAAAACGGTTACAATAAAAAGATGCAACTCTTGACAAAAGCGGTTATAACGAAAAGATTCAACTCTTGCAAATAACCATAAAGCAATTTTTTTGAGAAGATGCAATCTTTCAAAATAGTCATAATGCGGTTTTTTGAAAAAAAAAATCTAAAGCATATATATATAGGCTAAACGATTTTTCTGAATAGACGCATGTTTTAGCGAGAACCATAAAGCGGTTATTTCGAACAATAACTACTTAACGGTTATATTCGAAAAGACGCAACTTTTGATAAAATAGTTATAATGAAAAGACACAACTCTTGACAAAATAGTTATAATGAAAAGACACAATTCTTGACAAAAGAATTCCAATGAAAAGACGCAACTCTTGACAAAAGCGGTTTTAACAAAAAGATGCAATTTTTGAAAATAACCGTTAAAAATAACTCTTGCAAATAACCATAAAGCGATTTTTTTGAGAAGATGCAATTTTTCAAAATAATTATAATGCGGTTTTTTGAAAAAAACATAAACACTAAAACATATATCTATATATATAGGCTAAACGATTTTTCTGAATAGACGCAACTTTTAGCGAGAACCATAAAGCGGTTACTTCAAAAAATAACTACTTAACGGTTATTTTCGAAAAGACGCAATTTTTGACAAAATAGTTATAATGAAAAGACACAACTCTTGACAAAACGATTACAACGAAAATACGGAACTCTTGACAAAAGCAATTTTAAGAAAAAATACAACTTTTGAAAATACCTATTAAACATAACTACTAAGCGGTTTTTTACGCAAAGTCACAAAACCCAAAATATTCATTTTTTTGGTTTTGCTATTGTATATAGATTAACCCGACAAAAATTGAATAACGACAAATTTTTTTTTTTCTTAAATATTCAAAAGAAAACAAAAAGAAGACTTTAGCATTTTTGCCGAGTCTTCGCTGAGATCACAACCAATTATAAAGCGATACGTTTAGTAACTCACGTGAGTCTAATTTTCAATTATTGACTGAAAATAAAATAATCGAAAAAACGAAGACATTACTATCACGGGGGGCTAAATTAGTAAATTACATCATTGTTCGTTAGCGAAGTGCAGCACCCACCATCAGGGGTAAAATGGATCCGAATATCCTGAAATTTCAAGGTATCCGGATCCGGATCCAGAATCGTCGGATCCGTGAAAAAAACTATCCGGATCCGGAACGGAACCTCTGCATATCCGGACTTTGGATATCCTGCAAAAAAAACAGATATCCGGATCCGAAATTAATATTAAAAATAATTAAAATAATWAATAAATAAATAAAAATATATTTTTAAAAATTATTATTTAATATTTTAAATGATATTTTTCATTATAAATATAATTTATTATAAAAAAACTAAAATCAATTTTTATATATTTATTTATATAAAATTAGGTTAATAGATATATAATATATATGTTTTTATATTTAATGCGTCCGGATCCGGATCCGGATATCCGGACCTTAAAATTTTGTTATCCGGATCCGGATCTTCTTTTTACGGATCTTATATTTTACTATTTTTATTCGGATCCGGACTCCCCGAATATCCTAATTTTCGGAGCGATTCCGAACAGATAACGAATCGGTTATCAGATGATGGATAATAATTCCACCGCTAGCCACCACGGTCGTTCTCAGACAACGAAACGGGAATTAAAAAAAGAGAGACGACAAAACTACCGTTTTACCCATAGCCGTCAACGCTACCGTAGAAATCAGAATTAATCACTCGACGTAACACATTATAATAAGATTCCATATTAAATTAGAGGAGATTCTTCTTTTAATCAGCGTTACTTGCATATTAGTATTTTACTTGAATTGATTCCTTCGTTGTCTAGTGACACCACTCTTAAAAAATACAATTAAACATTCTGAAAACTTACCGTGGAATTGAATTTAATGTGATGATCTAAGTTTCCATGAAAATCCGGTTTAGCTCGATTACAAAGCTTAGAGAACGTCAAAATTTTGTTTGGGATACAACTCGGTTTTGTCACAAATTGGAATCAAGATTGCGTTGACTTGGTTTTATTTGATGGGTCTACCAAGAAAAATCAAAGAAACCGGTTCGAATCGGTTAAGAAGATCATACCGGAAAAGACGGTGAATTAGGAAAATGATGATTAATTTAATTG